TATATAAACATTTTTATGTTTAAGATTTTATTTCACTTATGCACTAACCATCTTACAGATTCTGAAAGGGTAAAGTGATAGTCATGTCACTGTCCATATGGCTGCATGTATTCTGGCCTTGGGGGTTGTGAATAGTCACACGTATGACAGCAGAGAGAGGCAATTTCAGGTCAGTGGCAGCAGGGCCGAGGAGAGGGCAAGGGAACATCAGGGACAGCTCTCTAACCTTTCACTCCAAACAGTTATTCAAAACATCCATTTCTAACAGCTCCCAGCATTAAAATCCTTCCATTGTGATTGCCACTCACTGTAGCACCAAAAAACAACCTTTGGGATACTTAAACTCCTTTAAATATGAAGAGTGGTGTGTCGCTGTCTATTATTGTACCTTTGATGAGCTGTATATTTCATAAACAATCATTCTTTTGAACAGATTCTTTTGAATGTTTTAGTCAAACTGATTTGCAAAGTGTTGGTAATGTACTCTGTATTTAACACTGCAGGCTTCCAGTGGTTATGGAAAACTTATCAGTGAATGTTAAAAACTGGAAATACCAGTGAATTTGTAGGGATGAATGGACTTAGCTTTAATATATTTTATTGGTGTTCATTGCTTTTTGTGAGTGCAGTCTCTATAAACTCGTTTTAAAACATTAATAAAATATCCAGTAATCCTGAACAGCTGCAAAAGTAATGGAAAAAATCATAGAAATCCATTTGTAAACATTGGCAAAGTTTTGTGATAAACAGTGATAAACAGCAGCATTTCATAGACTACAAAACTATATCAAAAGACATTTAAAATGCTGCTGGAAACACGTTTGAATGATGACTCAAATGAGTTAAGTGGTTAACTGGTTCCTTGAATAAGCCGACTTACCAAAATGAATCTGATCTCCCAATGCTATTCTTCAGGGCTCTTTTTAATAATGTACACAAAGAAGCTTTTGTAAATGTAGTTTTTATTGTGTTTTTTCTTTAAGCTTGTGGCCTCAGTGATCAACAAATCCAAAACAGAGCTCCAATCAACAGTGCTTTATCAGAATAATGTTCCAAACTCTCCCTCGATTTGATTGCTTCCATTGTTATGTAGATGGTGGGTCTGGTGTGACTAAAAAAAGCTTTAGAGATAGCCCTTTTAATTGCTATCTCGTCATTTGTCAGAAAAGTTCTCATCTCTCCGTATCTCTCATTTCCTCCTTTATGCGCCAACAATCGCCTAATCTGGAAGCATTCAATTTGGAGGAGGCTATCATCTCCTCTCACCGCGCCCTTTCCACCGCAAAGGATTTTCCTCTTAACGAAGTGGTTGCTATTTCGAGAAAGCATTCATTAAGACCGACGCTCCTTTGTTTAGGGAACAATGAAAGTTTAAAGTCTTGCGAAGACTCTTGTGTTAAATTACGCCAACTCTTGTGGTAGATTTAGGGTTGCGACGTACTGGGTCTCTGTGTGATTCTTGCCAACAGCGAGAGCTTGGAAAGCAACTCAGTGCTAAGTACATCATGTGTCATTTAGTTAAAGCACTATTTGGAAAATCAATAAGATTGTAAAGTTGAAGAACAGCTCCTTTTGTTCATAATCGTAGCAGGAGGACGCAAAGTGGATTATCAGGTCATCAACCTGACCAATATCTCTTTAATCCTGTAAGTTAGTTCATTGGATATCAAAGCTGAATATATGGAGATATGAGTTCTGCTTTTACCACGGTAACTGCTGCCGAAATAAATGCTTTAATGTGGGGTGTAAAATCAATACTCTATTTGCAATAGGGGTTCTCGCTCTATGGATGAGCCAGCATTGGGAATGGGCCAGTCTGCTTGCCTGATTTGAGCTTGTTAAGGGGAGTCACTGCTGGGCTCCTGATGGGACGACTACAGGCCAAATGTAAAGGCTCTGGTGTGCCGCTTTACACACAAACATATGTTTATACACACACGCTCAAGCTGCTGCGCCTCTCTTCCCATACGTAATTACACAATCTGCCTCGTATCTGATGTCACAAAGCATTTTTATAATGTACATGCACTCTAAATGTCAAATTGCCTGCATCAAAGGTCTGTTTCCTTTAATGATTATTCTACAATACCAGTTAGAACTAAATCACAGGGGTGTTGCTTACACAGATGAGCTGTTATGTGATATTGATTACTTTAGTTTGTTGCAGGTATTCATTTTTTTCCGAACGTGCGATACAAACATGTAGGTCAGAGGGACTCCGCTGGGAATAGGTTTATCCAGCGATTTTCCCCGGAAAGTACGTATAGGGTTCAAGAGATTCTGTGCAAACTGCCTTTGACAGCAGCGTGCTGTGACAGCTTTATTTAAGTGGATATGGTTTTTAAGTCTCTGTCCTAGATATTACAACTCAAGCAGACCTGGATCCATGCTGTTATTTTCACCAGAGACAATGACAGCTTAATCTTTATTTCTGTACTTTTATAGTCGCAGTTACATTTTACATGTATGCATCTATCAGACACTTTTATCCAAAGCAAAAACAATACAACATAAATTATTCATAATTTTTGGTGGTTACGGTAGAGGTTTTTTTTTTTTTTTTTTGATGTTTCTTGAAGGTAGCAAAGGATCAGAGTTGGCAAATTCATTCTGCCTAGGTTTGAGAAAATAATTGTGTGCCTTTTATATTTATTTATATATTTGTTATATTTCATAAAAATATTTTTGATAAAAATAGAGTAAAAACTGTAAA